CACCCACACCCACACCCACACCACCCACACCCACACCCACACCCACACCCACACCCACCCACACCCACACCCACACCCACACCCACACCCACACCCTCAAGAATCATTATCATCGAAATAATCAATTCTATTAAGATCATCTATATTTGTTGTCAGATTTTTTCATTTAATAAATAAATTAATTATTGATATTCTTCGATTTAAAATTTTATGTTTTAACAGCAGCGAAGATATGTAATTGACAATATGTAAAGAAAGATTACGAAAATGGTAGAGGATGTGGGTGTGGTTGTTCTATTCGAGTACACTTAGACCCTTAAAAAAGTCTCTTCTACACGAGTCAATCATAAGAACTGAATAGCTTGAAGAAAATAACAATTTAATAAAATTTTGTTGTTGATGAATATGTTTTTTCAAGGTTCTTTGTTAAATAAAATTCATATTAATTGAACAACAACAAGAAATCGACCGGGAAACTTCATCAATAGAAAGAAGTCTGAATATCATTGTACCATAATTCATGTCTTCAAGGGAAAATATATTTTGAAACTTCTTTGCAAATGTAAACAACAAAGGCAAAAAATCTCAAATGATCAATTATTACACCGAACAATAGCATCTAATATAAAATGAAGAGATGAGCAAACTATTTATTTAGATACTATCTTACAATGCAGATGACGTTGATGAAAATGTCAAAAAAGTGTTTAATCTTCATCGAGTGGATGGTTGTGAATACGTTGTTAACGTTAATCTTAAATAGAAACGGCAGTTATCCAATATTGAAAAGCAAACGAAAATACATTGTTGACAGCTATAAACGAGTATAGGAATAATTTTGATAAATGTTGGGAAATTTGGCTTCAAACTCATCATTATTTATACAAATGTATCCTTCATCTAAACTGAAGCGTAAGTAATAATAATATGTTTTTGTACTCAATAGAACTTTGTCCTTTATTCTTCGAAATAGCAGAAGTGTCTTTTCGATAAGATCACATTGAAATATAGACAGCTCATTTTTGGTCTTCAAGTGGCATATATGTTTCTTATAGTATTGATGCTGTGACTTTTCTTTGAACACTGGCGCATTTCGAAGGAAGATATTTCATCTATTATCATTCGATGACATTGAAGATATCTATGTTACCAGCTATGAGTACAACTCAGTGAAAGTAAGCTAATTGACAGAACCTTATTTTTAGACATGTGTCATAGTAAACAGAATATCCTAAAAATTTTAAATCGAACGATTGCATTTTTCTTGATACATCAATTATTCAAAAAAATGTTTGTCTAACAAGACAAGTCATGGAGTCGAGTTGTGTTAGACATTCGATGCTTAATAGATATATATAATCTGCTGAGATGAATTTTTCGAGATATTTTAGTAGCTGTGAAATCTGTCTTTGTGAAAAATTGTAGGTAAAATAGTCTTATATTTTTCTGCGAGTAGTGGGCGTGAGAGACGGCAATCTCATAGAATCAGTCATAATTTTGATTCGATAATGTACAGGTTTGAACCCCATATGTGAACTTCTTGATTTTAAAAACTCCTCTTACTCAGTGCTAACATACTGAGTTAAACTATGTCTGAGCGTGAGATATGTTCCCTTGTTGGTTATAAATTAATCTATTATTTATTTTTCCTAATTAAAAATAACCTATGATATAATCGAAATGGTTTCGTATTCTAATATAATTACTTTGAATAATCTAATCATTTCAAATAGAGGACAATGATTAATGTATGCCAGTTTCATCTGCAGATCTTTATTTTTTTAAATAGATGCTTTTTCAGTTCTATAGATGAAATGACAGAAAAAACAAATAATTACATTTGAATCAAATTTTGATTTTTCAATTAAATGAATCATTCAATCGTTAAAAATAGTTCAGGTCATGGTACATATACCCATTCGTTTATATTTACTGATGCATGTATTCATTTGATTTCTATTATGAAAATCAATTGTCAACAAAATAATTTGGAAGTATGTTATCATTTCTAATGAGGATTCCGACGATGAGGTGGAACATAAGGACGAGGCGCAGCATCATCTCTTTTTGTAGGCACATTCTGCGTCGTAGAATTTCCATAATTGTTATCTGTTCTCGTTGGTTGTTGTTGTTGATGCTTGTTGTAATCTCTAGTTTCTTCTTTTTCGGTCTTACTGAAGTTTGTTAACGATGATGAAATGATTCTGCATCGGTAGCTCTCGGGACTTCTGTCTAATTTATGGAAATTCTCACTCCTACATATAAAAATGAAATTAAATGAAAATAATAATACAGCGTATTATAGATGAATGCAATGTGTCATACCAATTAAATACAGTACCAAGAGCGATTTCTTCAGCATCAAGACAATTTTCTATAACGACAATAAAATATGCTTCACGCTCTCGTCTTTTCGGATCATCGGCAATTGATTGACACATGTTTAGCTCGTTCTGAGAAATATAAAAGTGATTATGTGTTTCATTAAACGATCCACTAGTGCCTTTGACTTCAAAATAGCAAGACTTTGTTGTCGACCCTGAGCCGCGAACGAATATTTGCTGCGTATCATGTAATTCAAAATCAAAACCAGCTGAATCATCAATATTGTGTCGATACTTTGGATAGGTAATCAGACGTGATGATGAACGCCAATTTTGGATCGGTGTTACATCTACTGAACCAAAAAGATTCTGTAGATAGACGAAAAAGAAATGCTCTGCATTTTGACCAATACGTATTTGTTCGATACCGTCAACAATCGATGGATCTTTCCAATCGTTTATCATCTTTCTATTTCTTTGCAAATGATTTTGTGTTTTTACTCTATGCCGATAAATTTGATCTTCAGCAATACGATCAGCAGCAATGATACTTCTGGTAGTCTTTTCGATATCCTTTTCAATGGTATTATTTTTTCCTATTGATATAATTATTGACTCGATAGAATTATGATCAGTAGGAAACAAAATGTCAGTAAACGAGTAAATGGTAGATCCTGTGCAACTAACAGATGCCATATTTTCGGAACGAAATGCTCTGCATTTACTTATATTTTTTTGAGCTATTGATTTCGCTTCTTCCAATGGTATATGTTTTCGTTTAAGCAATAGAGTAGTTAAAGCAGATATTGCACGAATTTCTATTGAGGCATCATTTTCTTTTTTTTCAGCACAAAGAAGAGTTGTATTATTAAATATCCAGAAAAGATAATCGCTATCGAACCAATATCGTTTACTTTCATTTATTCTGTTTTCAATGGTTGAGTCAACTACGAAAGAATCGGGAAGAAAAAGACCTACAGTTGCGTATCTTGCTGAGACTACTTCTAAATCTTTGTCATCGAGAGTAGCACGAAATATTTCTGTCAATTGTTTCAAAGAAGTCTCGGGATTATTATGTGTGTGGTTCCATTCAATTTTGCCTTTACGCTCAATGTAATCAATGCCAAATGTTGCCAAAATTAATGGACATGTGCGAGTAATCGATGGTAACATAAAGTAACATTGAACGGTATCTCGTGATAAGTTTTGAATAATTTTAATTTCTAAACAGGCATAAATAGTCGTATCTATTTCTTTTGAAATAATTTGTCGATTAAATGTAACAAGACGAATTTTTTTTCGTTGTGATTGTATACCAGTCAATTTTTGCAGTTCTTGTGATAAAGAATTACTGGTAAAACTAAAACGCCATTCTAAATCTTCTCGACTACCACAGAATGCTGTTGGATGTTTATTCACCACAACTGTTTTATATAAGTCGGTATTTGTTGCATTCTTTTTGACATATTTTAAAACAAACTCCTCCAGATATTGATATAGACTTATGATTGTTTCCATACCATTCTCTGTTAGAGTTGTAGTAGAATCACCCAAAGCAAAGAAGTTATTTTTATCATGACTTGCTAAATCAATTGCAGTACAAATGTGATCAATAGTGATTGTAGATGTAGATTTACAATCCAACAGATGAAAAAGATCTTTGAACTGCCAATACGTTTGATTGATTAATGGTGAAATTAATTGTAATTCGAGATATTTAGAAATGATTGAAATAGCATCAGAATATTCTTCACTGTTCGATATAATTAAAACTTCATCTAATGAATAAAAGTTATTTTGTTCAGGAAAATATAGTCGGCAGGATGAACGCAAGTTTGTTGTGTTCAAATCAATGTGTTGTTGCAGAACATATAATTGTAAATGGCCTAACCATTTAACGTACAAATCAGTATTTGTATTTTTTTCATCACTGAGTAATTGTAGAATGTTAGTGCACGTACGAACATCATATTCAACACAGATACCAAGACTTTTTGCGAATGCACGGCAATAAAGCGGAATAGTGATACGTGGTAATGTTGGTAAATTAAGTACAATCGTTTCATCAAATGTGGCTGAAACTGGACTTATTTGTTGTTCGCCTTTTGAATTATCAACAATGGGAAACTGATGAAGACAATGTTTGGTGTCGTCTCTTTGATATGAAAGAATCAACTCTCCTAATTGAGCACATTTTTCATCGTTAAACAATGTTGATACTGGCAGAAGTGGTAATTCTTTGGTAGAGTAGTTTAAAGGAAGAAGAATCGATGCTTTTTGACAATTCATTTCAAGTAGACAATGCTCCCATTGAAGAATTTCTAATAATCGATATTGATGGGCATTATTATAAGGAACATCAATGATCAGTGCTGTTGTTGGATGTATAAATTTTCGCATATCTATTCCGAATATTGTTGGTAACATTGCATTTTGAATTGGAGTAAGCTTTGGTGTCCCAATGACTGGTACTAAAAACGGAGTAGTTTTATTTATTTTATCTAAATGAGATTTTAAATAATTTAAATCTTTCCATATTTCTTCGATTAAGTTAACATCAGGATCTGTAAGTTGAGATGACACAGCTAATTGTAAATGATGCTGACGAATAATCTCAATCATTCGTTCTTCTGTTAGAACTTGTATTTGATTCGTTTTGATAAGAGCAATTCTTTCTGATTCTGAAGAGTATTGTAAAAGCGTAAGTTGTTTTTTCCACATCCGAAATTTTGGATCATTACTAATGAAAAGAAGTAATTGAGTATTATTGTTGATTGGTAAATATTGTCTTGGACCATCATTTTGAAGAAGGAAAATTGGTATTTGTAAAAGTTTAAGAGAAATTTCTGATGTCATCATTTGAGATAAATGATGAAAAAATTGAGACCACCATTGTTCATCTTGTTGTTGTGTCCAAAGTCTGAATTGTTGTCGAAATGCATTTATTAATATTTCTTCTCGTTGTGGAAAACATTCCAAGACATCTATAATTGAAACTGGTTGAATTTGAAAAGATTTTAAACGTTCCAATGTTGTGAAAGAATTTTCTGGATTAATGACGTAAATATTAGCGCATTGGCATAATTGTTCATTTGATACAAGTAATGCTAGATCTCGATTGAGGTAACGAATATTTTTGTCTAAACATGATTATTAACTTATTTTAGACTAATGTTCAAATCAATACCTACCTGTTGGAATATCCAATAATAGTGGAAGATATTTGTTTATGAATTTCTTGATATAATCAATCATAAGAAGCCACCATGATGAATGTTTTCCTTGATATATATTGAATAATGGACAATAACGATTAAAATCTTTTCTTAGGTCTATATCATTTAATAAAAGATAGACAAAAAGTGCTGATAAATGAGTACGAATGAATGTATTGAACGGAACGTTTTCTCGAACATTCTCTCGATTTGTAACTAATTGAAAATCAGCATTGAATAAAAAGTTAAAACCAAGATCACAAACAGGTAAACCTTTATAAACTGTACTTGCCAATTCATAATCTTTTTCACAAGGAAATCCTATAGTTAGTCGTGTTTTAGGAGGTCGTCCTTGTTCAATGTAGTTTGCTACATTAATATAACACGTGTATACTCGAAAAGTGCTATATCCTGTTGATGTATGCAATAGAATGACAGATCCAGAAAGATTAAGAAATGTAAAATCTTCAAAAGTAACACTCGATTGTTCTTCTAATTTAGTTGGACCTATAATTTGTTTTTCAATAATTGTTACTTTCTTTTGTCTTTCGTCAACAATTTCGAGTTTTTTCAATTGACGCATATTAAGTAAAATGCATGGATCTACAGCTTTGATAACTTGATCAAGAAATGAATTAGCTTCAGGTGTATGTGCTTGAAATTTTAACGGCAGATATAGATGAGTATATTGAGGATATGTTGAAATTTGTTTAGAAATACATTCAGGAAGGTCCTTATCTGTTATCCATAATGGAGTTATATATGACACAGCATCAAGACCTGGTACATGAAAACGAAATTTCCAAGCATGTGAAATAAGCATCGGTTCATTTGAAGCACCAAAAACTGATTTAAAACCAACACCTTTTTCTCCTATATGTTCCTGTTCAATTGTTTTGGTACTCACAGCTAAACTACAAATAGCTAATACGTCTCTTGCTCGAAGACCTTGTTCATTATTTGATAAAAGTATATAGCTATGATTAAGTTCAATACGTAAACATGGTATAATTGAAGTATCGTAAAAATTATCTTCAGCATTCTATAAACAAAAATCTCCATTGAAAGAAAATGAAAAGGGCAAGAAAACAACCTGAATAAGTTCATGTAAAAAATGTACAGGTGAAGTATAAAGATCAGAACCAAGATGTTTAAGTGATCCACAAATAGACTTTCGCATATCACTATCATTGAATGTTGTTCGTCGATGATAAATTTCTTGAATACATTTTTCTGCTTGTTTCAAAGTGATTTCATTTGGAGAAAGATTTTGTAATTCATCAATTACATTCTTCTCATTGTTCTTATCAGCAGAAACAACTGTTGATAGATGTCGAAACTCCACATTTTTAATCGTAGTTGGCATTAATTTAAGTTTATCTATTTCTTGATGCACCGTATTGTTTTCTTTTCTAAAGTGATCTCTCTCTAACTGAGTACGTTGTAATTCACTTCTTAATTGTAATAATTCTTCATGGAGCGACTGTAATTCTTGTTTCAGTTGTTTATTCTCATTTTGAAGTTGTAGAGTATCGAATCTTTTCCATTCTTCATTAAATAGTTCTTGAATTTGTTCTTGTTTTATCGATTTCCTATCAAGTGAAGATGTTTTCTGAATTTTTCGATATAAATCAAAGTATGATGAAATTAAATCCTGAGAAAGATTTAAGGGAACAAATGAATCAATACTCTGCTCAGTGGTTTTGGCATCGAAGAATCCTATATTTTCTTCATTTTCTTTATCATTGTGAAGTTCCTTTTGTTTGCATTTTTTCTGAACAAATTGTATATAGAAATTCATGCATAATGTTATCCGATTTTCGTTGAATTCGTTCATTTTTAGTAGACTTTGAACAGCTGTAGGAACGGTTGATAATAAATTATTTTGATTTATTAATGCCAAAAAAACTGGAGGTGAGCTGCAGAGTAGAATGGGTTTTAGAAGGGCACATAATTCACTTACAAGCACTACACTTGACGGACAATGGTGTTCTCCGCGAATATGTATTAACAGTCGAGAATCTGTTAAGACATCAATGACTTCTGCGAACTGCCACACGTCATCTCGCGTCACTTGCATGCAATGATCCGCTGATCCATAAAATAATGATGAGAGATTACTTATGTAGGACTGACTAATGAGAATTTCTGTATGACGAAAACAATCTCTTTCTGAAATGTGCACAGTCGATTCTGTTTCGGTTGACCTGATAACAATAGAAAGCATCAGTTTTAATATTGATACCTCATAATGAATGTTTGTACTTACTCAGAACCATCATATTCATTTTCTTGCTCTTGTTCTTTTTCTTTCCATATTTTTTTGAGAGTCTGATAAGGTGACAGAAGCCATGTAATCGCATTCAAAATTTTACGTGCTGTGAATGGATCATGAGTTAAGTAAGTAGTAACATATTTATATTCGTTTTGATCAGCCTTTAGAATAGTGTTACAAAGTCGAAGACCACATAATGTTAATGGATATTGCCGTTGAGTTACAAGCAACAAACTTAATGTGTATATCTCGGGAGTGTGATTAAATATGTCATGACGTAAGTAAAAGTGAGAACCTAATTCGCATATGGCTAAAACTATTGAATGGATTAAAGGTATTGATCCATCGTCATTATTATTTTTAAGTAAGTGAAGAGCCAAATAAACCAATTGAGAGGCAATCGTGTTTCCATTTTCTAGATCATGTTTTTGAAAACTACAGATGCATAGTCTTCTATATGCTCGCAGTTCTTCATCATCCATACTTTTGAAATCATCGAGAACAATATTAACAATTTGACGAGCAGCATCAACAGCCGCTGTTGATCGTTGAAGATCGTGAAGAAGTGGTTTTAATCGAATTGTGATGCTCTGTTGATAGTATTTTTTTAAACAGCTTCTGGCAACAAGTATGTCACGAGTTGTTCGTTGGACAGGTGATAGTAGTTGTGCCATTTTGTCACGAAGTTGGTTGTCACTGGCTCGATATTTTGATGATTCTTTACGAAAAAGATCGTGCATCAATGCCTGAAGCGCACTATCATTTAAAACAGTTTCTTCGTCAACAAGTAATGTATTGTCTTGGAGATATTTTGAGCAATTTAATAATATGAAGAAATTTCGAACACGAGTATTGTACAAAGGAAAAGTATATTCTACATAATCTTGAATAGATAGATTATGAGATAGCCAAATGTCGAATAGTCGTGGTTCTTTGACAAGAAAACAAAGTACAGTTAATGTGAAGCTGGATGATAGTGAATTGCATGAGGAGAATTGAAGAAATATGTTAAGCAATGGTGGTTCTAAAAATATTGGTCCACTCAACAAAATCCAACTTTTTGATTTACGTTCTATAGATTTTTCTTCAGCTGTTGAATCTAACAGTTCGAATATTTTATTCTGAAATATGTTCAGCTGTAAAGAATTTGATACATCGTCGATATCATGAGGCATTACAGTAGAACCATTACAACAGACTTCCATCGAAGTTGGTACTGCTTGATCGATTGATGATGAAGGATTTTCATCATTAAAAATTTTATCACTGATATTCTTCAATGTTTTATAATGCATTCGACGAATGTCATCAGTACACGAAGTATTTGAATAATTTCTATACATACATTTGACTCGTTCATATATCAAACTATGTGGTGCACCTGTGACAATAATGAAATTGATTCGCCGTGAGGGTTTTCCAAAGAGTTTGCAGCACGAACAATGTGATTCTGTCATAATCTTTATCTGAAAAACACTGAATCTACTAGAAATTTTTTCAACAAATGATCAATATTCATTTTTTTTCGTTTTATGGCGAAATAGAAACTCTCATATTTGTTTCTCACAGACACATATAAAATGTCACTATTTTAAGTTACATAGAAAAAGTTATAATGGCTACTGAAATCACAGCTCCATCGTAAGATTTATTCTCATTTATATTCTCTTCTTACACTCACACTGGATGACGCAAATGAATTACAAAGTAATTCAAAAAATATGAATTACAAAACAATTCGAAATTTATATATTTATTGCCAGGGTCTACCAGGGTCTACCAGGGTCTACTATGGTCTACTAGGGTCTACCAGAGTCTACCAGGGTCTCGATGTGAGTGCCGCGAAACGACTTACATCACATCTCTCTCGATGTGGGTGCCACGAAACGACTTACATCACATCTCTTTCGATGTGGGTGCCGCGAAACCCTGGTAGGCCCTGGTAGACCTTGGTAGACCCTGGTAGATCCTGGTAGATATTAATAAACTTATTATAATTATATATATACTTCTATAAATATATATATATAATATAAAAATTTTGAATTATTTTGTAATTCATTTGCGTCATGAACTCTACACTCAGCTTGAATCTAATGTATGCTTCTTCCAAATGACAGCTATACAGTGTTTGCTTCTCATTTCACTGGTTTTACAAAAATCCATTCTATCTCTACCAGGGTATGGGTGTGTGGATCGAATAATAAGATCTGCAGCTAATCAGACTCACACCGAAAAAATGATTGCAGTGAAGACTAAATCTAAAGGGGAGTTTTTAAACGTAACGTTAGCCCGGGCTTGAACCCAATCCCGAATCGGAACTTTGAACCCACACGTTTGGGTTCACCTCATGCGTACTTGCAAGGAATGATACTCTGAAAAAAATGGTCTCAAATCAAATGTTTATCTCTCATCTACTCTCGTTCATTAAAAATGTTAGGTAACTAACTTTTGCTTTCAGCTTTTTTTGCTTTCTCCTACCTCGAACCGTTTGTTGATGTATGGGTAAACAAAAGTTTGAAGTGTGCTGTTTTTGTTTAATTTCGCTCTTTATTGTAACACTCGGAAGTGCTTACAGTAATTACCGTAAGAATTTACAGCTGTTTGGTTATCACGGCAATGAGCTATTAAACATGCAGAAGGAAGCCCAATACAGCCATAAGATGCCACGCTTGTTAGATATAATGTGATATATAGAATTATACGTGTAAATAACCCAAAAAATGAAAATAGAATAGAATAAAATTAAGGAGAACAAGAGAAAAAAGAAAAAAAGAAAAGAGAGAAAAAGAAAAAAAGGAAATTAGAGGCGAGCTGAAAGAGCGGGGGACTGAGAGCACGAAACAATAAACAAACAATCACATGTCGCATTTCACTCAACTAAAAATTCGAGCTATTTCAGAAGTAGCAATTGATGATTCACATTTGCGTCTGACTCGCTTCATTCGAAAGAAGTGACCCAGGTGATCATTCTTATCTTTACGAAATGAATCCCAATAAAATATATCATTGTAGAAGGATGACCGACCTAAATCTGATTTTTCAATTCGTTCTAATCTTTTCTTTATATATTGTTTTATGTAGTATTCTAAAGATTCTTCATTTGTTATTTGAAGAATGTTTGTTGCTCGGGCAAAAGGACAGCTATGAACTAGTCTTAATACGTTTCTAAACTTTCTTAGCAATAATTCCTTTTGGGTTTTCGGTAGGAATGGATACAGTGAAAATATCCAGGCAAAATACGGAAAACTCTACGCAAAGAAGCATCTTCTCAAAACGTTTGCTGAGACAGTTTTACCACCTTTCATCCATCGTAATTTACTAAATGTTCTTTAAATGTTCTCAAGAGTTTTATCGATTGTTGGTTTTAAGGACTTCTTTTTTGTCCAGATGAAACTTAGATATTTAAACTCTTTAACTACTTCTACTTTCATACCGTCCATAAAAACATCAATTACTGGATTTTGCACTTGTGTGTGAAAAATCTGCGCTACTTTTTTAGACATATTAATTGGTTGTTTCCATTTTTTCGAATAGTTCGCTATTTGGTTACATATTTTTGTTCCTTCTTCTGCTAGAAGAAGAAGAGAAGAAGAAT